CAGGTTTTATTTATTAACCAATCAGAGCAACTTGACATACAGACCATCCCCCAGCACAGCCAAGTGCAGACCATCTCAAACACCTGCACTCAGGCCCATGGTCCTAATCATCCTCTATACGGACCTGCTGGGTAACGCCACAAAGAACCTGAGAATGGGCTCCCACAGGACATACAGAACATCCCACAGCATGTGTCCTTTGTATATGTCTGGTTCTAGAAGGCCCTTAGATGCGGGAGGAAAATAGGCTTCTCCTGTTACCAGAACCATCTCCCACCCCACCCCAGTCTGGGCTCATTATGAGGCCATATACACCTGGCACTTGCTACCTAGATCCCTCCTCCTAGTTTTCCAGGGACGGCCTCAGGTGTAGTGACATGGTATTAGTTGATCCTGAGATAAATCCTTGTCACAAAACCCAGGAGTTCCCTTCTCACCCTCAAGTGCCCTCCAAAAGGCCTATAGCAGCCAGATATCCCACTGAAGACACTCATTGTCCCCTACCCCCAAGATTTTCCTGTCTTGTGTATGCACTGCCCATTTTGAGCAGAAATGGGGGTCTCTGCACCCCACTCATGTGCACAATGAGGATGGACAGAGAGCAAAATGGTGCTCCATGCAATTGCTGCCAAAGTGGTGAGGTAAAGCAAGTTCCTGTGAGTCTGTCTAAATCATCTCGGGACAATCCTTCCCAAACAAACATGCATCCCCTTGGCTTCCACCCTCATCACATCCCACTGGTCAATGGACTTCACACATCCCTTTACACATACCAGATCAGAGGCTCTGAAGACCTAAATACGTACTCAGGCTCAGTCAGCTTTTTGACCTCAGTGACTTTCCCAACACCCTCTGAGTATTGAGTCCTCACCTTCAGCAATGACCATGACCTGGTTCTGGCAGAGGGCTATATCAGATTGTCCTGACAAGTGTTTCTACCACAGCAAAGCCCATCATTGTCCTAAGAAGTCCTCAGAGTGGCACTGAGATGCTGGGCCACCGCATACTAGTCTGTAGTCATTCTGCAAAGGAGGACCTACACACCTGGTGGCTGCATCCGTGCCAGGGACTCCCCCTCTCTGCAAAGCAGTCCCCCATCTCCTCCTGGAGAGCCACACTGATCTGATGCAGAATGACATTCTTCCTTGCACTGCAAAGGACACTGATGGGCCATGGCTTACGCCTGCAATACTTTCCTAAGGCGCTGTCCCAGTGGAGACATAACTGGCCTGCAGAACCCACCCTAACTAATGCTTCAACATCCTCTGACCCTGCACAAACTCCCTGCACTCTTCTCCAGCTTGCCATCCCATGGGAAGAAGAAGGCAGGATAACAAGGGTGGCTACAGTCCTGGGCAGTCTGGGTGCAGCTGGATAGTCCTGGAGTGGGTTGTAAAAGCCTGAAAGGTCAGAACTGAGTCCTTTTTATTTTTACTTTTTTATTTTTGTTGTCTTGTTGTTTTTGTTTTTTGGGTTTTTGTTATTGTTGTTGTTGTTGTTTTTGGGTGTTTTTTGTTTTGGTTTGGTTTGGTTTTTCGAGACAGGGTTTCTCTGTGTAGTTTTGGAGCCTGTCCTGGAACTCACTCTGTAGCCCAGACTGGCCTCGAACTCACAGAGATCCGCCTGGCTCTGCCTCCCGAGTGCTGGGATTAAAGGTGTGCACCACCACTGCCTAGCTCTGAGTCCTTTTTTTAAACTGTCATTTTACTATCAACAACCAACCATCAGAGGACACTGGTACAGTAGAGGGCTGACAGGATGGCTCTGTGCCCAAAGGATCTTGTGGTAAAGGCTGATGGCCTGAGTTTGATCTCCAGCTCCAGGACCCACATGGGAAGGAGAGAACTGACTCCCACAAATCATCCTCTAATAACTCCATATGTGTGTCCTGGCAGACACATACCCCCACCACCCCAACACAAACTAAGTACGTTGATTCAATTTAAAAAATGTTTAAAGAGCCAGGCTGTGGTGGCACACGCCTTTAATCCCAGCACTTGATAGGCAGAGGCAGGAGGATCTCAGTGAGTTCGAGGCCAGCCTGGTCTACAGGGAAAGTTCCAGGACAGCCAGAACTGTTACACAGAGAAACCCTGTCTCAAAAAACCAAAAAAAAAATTTTTTTTAAAAAGATGCACCATAGAATATGAGAAATATTTCCAGGTCACATATTTGATAAGGAAAGTACTCTCCAAAATATAGAAAACTGCTGAACTCCAACAACCAAAAATTAAATCACCTGGTTTAAAATGGGCAAAAATTCCAATCATTTATATTTTCAAAGAAAATAGACGATGATTATCTTTTTTTGGCTTTTTGGAACAGGGTTTCCTCTATGTAGTTTTGGAGCCTTTCCTGGAACTCATTCTATAGCCCAGGCTGGCCTCAAACTTACAGAGATCCACCTGCCTCTGCCTCTCGAGTGCTGGAATTAAAGGCGTGCACCACCACCGACCGGCCAATGATTCTTTGTAAACAATTGCTATGACATTTATTCCTTTATGCTGGGCACACTATGGTGTATGTGAAGAGGTCAGAGGACAATTTTTGGAGTTGGTTCTCTCTCCTTTAACCACGTGGCTCCTCGGGAATCACACTCAGGTCGTAGGCTTAATGGCAAATGCCTTTCGCCACAGAGCTATCCCACATGCTCAGATGTGCTTTTGAAGTATGTGAAAAAGAGCTCCATATCAATAATCATTGGAAAAATGGAAATCAAAACTATAACTATAAAAATGGAAATCAAAACTATGAGATACCATCACATAGCCATCAAAATGATAACTGTTTAAAAAAAAAACACAGAGTGTCCTCTGTGAGTTCAAGGCCAGCCTGGACTACAGTGTGAGTTCCAGGACAAGCTCCAAAAGCTACACAGAGAAACCCTGTCTCAGAAAAACAAAAAATAGAGCATCATTTTTGGGAGTGGGGAATTGAACACTTTTTCAAGGACAATGGGTAATGAAAAGCAGCATAGTGGTTCCTCACAAAAACAAGAATTGAATTCCCACCTCAGCCAGGAACCTCCCTCTGGGTACTGCTACACTGAATTAAATGTGGTCTAAAATACTTAAATCCTTGGGTAATAAACAGCACCCACCATGGCCTCCATCACCCACTTGGGTGGGCAAACAAATGATATCCAGTCTGTATTTGTCTGAGTTCTGCAGAGGAAGAGAACCCACAC